TAAAACACGTTAAAGATAGCACAACCTAATGATGTACCAAAATACATACTAACATTTTCCTTCTCAGTTACATCTTTAGAGCCTCAAAAGAGATCAGTGTAGCCTTATTAACCGAGGGAAATGGGTACAAGCAGATATGAAAGCCAGCTGCATGTTACTCGACAGATATTACAGTGCTTCAGGCATACAGCTCTCCTTTTCAAAGGCAAACACCGACCTCTATGGGCAATATCTAATGGTGCAAAACAGAATACTAAAGAATGGCCAAACATGCACGCAAAAAAAAATTCAAAAAGCTTTGTGAACCTCTCTGTAAGACAAAGTCATTACACTGAAGTAGGGTATGGATAAGGATAAAGCTCCTTTCTCTGGATGCAGTGATGAGTTTCAGAAGCAGTTACATCCCTCACCAAAATAGCTTTCATCAAGTTTGTGTCATCCTTCAGTGGAACAGATTTTGCCTGTAAACAGACTTAATTCAACATGCAAAGCACTACGAATACCAAGGGAATGACTCACAAAAGCACCCCCCCAGTGCTTGAACCTCGTGCACTGCAGGTGGTCCTGAGCCCCCGGGACGACGAGGAACCACAGGCGTTCCCACGGCACGCCAACATTTGAGCTCCTCCTGGCCAAGGCTGTGATGGTGGTCCGGCCCCGGCCCCGGGGTCACACGAAGTATGGAAGGACGGGCAACCAGGATGAAGCAGCAGCTGTCACGGTGCTGGAAGATGGCCCGTGGGGAGCACGGCTTCTCCTCATCCCTCTTCAAAGACGGGGCCCTGCCAGCGGGTGCAGAACCATAGCTCTCTGGGCAACGGAGACTCAGGCCACACTGGGAGAAAAACCACGGCACAAACTACGACACAAAATGCAAAAATATGAAACGGCAGCGCATGGCTGGGCAGTGGGAAGATGGGACAGGTCTCACCCTGACAGCGTGAGGACAGGCAGAGCTGGGCAATTCCCCAGCACCTTCAGTACTACGGTCCAGATGCAGGAGGCATTGAAAAAATAACTAAACAGACCAAAATTTTAAGGTTTGCTCTGCCTCAGAACTGCAATAGGACATGACACTGCACCTCCGTGGTGAACAGGACACGGGAAACACATTGCTTCTCTTCCTGCTCTTTATTTTAATCTTCCTTAAGTTAATGACAAGGATGCAAACAAAGAGAGTTTTCCTAATTGGTTTAGGATCAGTTTCCATGCCAAGATTTAATCCACCTTTTTGCAACAAAGGGATTTTTAAGCCAATGATGAACAACGGCAAGTTTGTAAATATTCCTGCAAGTACAAATTCTTCATCATTAGATATAAAACTATCAATTTCTTAAGTAGATATTTTTCTGAAATCCTGGCACATATATAACAGCTTGATAGCAGAGAAAATGTTATTTTAAATTAAAGACATTAAGGGCATGTTTTAATCTAAAACTGTAGAAGTGATATCTCATCAAAAGTGAGAAAAAAAAAATAAAAAGAAAAAAGAGAAAACCAACAAGTTTAAGAAAACTTGCCAGTTGCAGAAGACTGTAAATTTTTTCAAACGGTATTTTTAGGCCTCACAAAGCTTTTTGGCTGTGCTAATTTAAAAGGCTATCTCCGTAAGGCATACTTGGAATTTTCTGTTTTTTATGCTCCTGTGACATGCAGTAGGGAAAAGTTAGAAAGTGATGGAGTTAAGCCATATCCAGGCCTTGCACTAAACTAATGCTGTCACAGAGAAGGAAATCAATGACCACAGTCTGAAGTTGTAAAAAGGGATGAAACAGATAAAAGTAGGTGGTTAAACATTTAGAAGCGATGATATTCAAATACAAAGCAGTCTCAAATCTAATGTGACCCTCTCTCTTCAAAGAACTGCAAGTTGACAAGTTTATATTTAGAAATTCCCTTCTTGCCCTCTTTCCTATATGTGTCCTCCTCCTGTTGAGGACCTGGAAAAGCTCCATCAGCTACTTCATTGCTAAATTGAATTCTGCCTACATGATGCTGTCTGAAAACATCAAAATGACATGTTTTCATACAGTATGAAATTTCTTGGTTTGTCCTCTGGAAAAGAGCTAAGTGAGCTTCCCAATTTAATAGGAACTTCCATTAAAAATGAACAACTATCTCATAAAAGACATTTCAAAATTGCATAAAGAAGTGAAAGAAATGAAGCACCTGAAATCTCTGACAGGTAGTGCATGTCAGGTAGGAAATAGCTCAGGGCAGGCTTAGCAAATAGAGACGTAATCAAGCAGGAAACAAAACCAAGCAAACAAACAAAGAACAAATGTATACAGACTTCTACATAAACGTTAGAAGTTGGGGAAATTATGTCACTTAACTGGAATGTCTAATTTTAAAAGGAAATGTCATTTCAGCTTCTCAAAATTGCGATTTTTTAAAAAACTGGGGCACAATGTTTGACAGCTGTGACCCCTACTCCTGGTGCTGTTGTTACCAGGATAATATCCCATCAAACCTAAGTTAGGAGCCCCAGCATGAGGGCATTTCCTCCTGGGCAATGTTCCTGCGTTCTCCACTTGGCACCTACACAAGATATACATCCACTGCGTTAGTCGTCTACAATTTAAATTTTGAGATGTAGAAAAACTTACAATAATGCGTAGCTTTGTCTTCTGCGGCAATAATCGTAGTGAAGGATTTTGGCAGGTCTCCAACACATTTACAGTGCTATTTCTAAGGATGAGCCAGCCTTTAATAAGAAATTGAGTTTATTGATACAAGGGAAAACCTACTTGTTGCTCTTCTCTACAATCTTATTTCTAAGGAAACAGTGACCACATCTTTCAGTAATTTGAAACTGTTCCTTAAACAACTGTTACACTTAATTAATCACAGAATAGCTGAGGTTGGAGTCATCTCTGGAGGTGGTCCAGGTCCAACCCCCCCTGCTCAAGCAGGGTCAGCTAGAGCAGGGTGCCCAGGACTGACCAGTTGGGTTTGAGTGCCTCCAAAGATGGAGGCTCCATAATTTCTCCTTTGCCAACATTCAACCATCTTCACAGTAAAAAAAATCATTTTCTTAAGTTCATAGGAATTTCCTATGTTTCAGTTTGTGTCCATTGCCTCTTGTCCTGGCACTGGCTACCACTGCCCAGATTCTGTCTCTCTCCTCTTTATACCCACCCATCTGATATTCATAAACATTGATAAGATCCCCCTTGAGCTTTCTCTTCTCCAGGATGAGCATGCCCAGCTCTTTTGGCCTGTCTTCATACAACAGATGCTCCAGTCCCTTACTCATCTTCGTGGCTCTTCACTGGACTTCCTTCAGTAAGCCCATGTCTCTCCTGTACTGGGTAGTCCATGACTGGACACAGCACTCCAGATGTGCCTCTCCAGTGCCAAGTGCGACAGTGGCCTCGCGATGACATGGGCCAGCTCCCTCAGCATTCGTGGGCACACCCCATGTCCTACGGACTTGATTACATCCAATTTGTTTAAATATTCCCTAACCCAATCCTCCTCCACTGTGAAAAGGGGTCGTCTTCCTTGTGCCAGACTTTCTGGGCTCAGGAGGATGCAGCTTAATGAAGGTTGGTATTAACGAGGACTCAGACCTCTGGTGAGCTTTCAGTTTTATCAGGGGTCACTGCTGGGTGGATGAAAGCAGGACTGGCAGCTGACTGAAAGCTGGTCATTACTTTATCACTAATATTAGTCACAAATTACACAAGACCTCAGTTAACCTAAGCTACCAGACAGCCACTCCGGCAGCCCCTTCAGAGTCAGGCTTCCAAAAGCTCTTGACACCCTGCAAGTCTTGTTCACCATATGCACAGGGCAGTAACCCTCACATTGCACTCACATATATGGTTTGTTCAACTGGGCCAATGTTGCTGATCCTGGTGCAACAATAAACTATCTCCGTCACTGCTGCATAAGCACTTTGAATGAGCTGAAGGCTAACGATGGACTGAAACTGTGCAGACCATAAAAGGAATGAAGTTCACACTAATTTTTTGGATTAGCTCTATCCCAGCAAACATTATGAAACTTATAGCGGGATAAACCCACCAGCTAATTCAGGGTCCGAGTAGAGAGGAAGAACTCCAAAAGAAACATGCCATGAGAGAGAGCAAACAGCTTCAGGCACAGCAGTTCCCACCATCCCCTGGCACGTTGGTGGCAGTGGTTCCCAGTTCTCCTTGGCTGCACGACCAAAGTGACACACAGGCTGGAGGGGAGGAGGACTCTCAGGTTGGGTACCTCTCTGCACTCAGGTTATTTCCACATTGCCCCAGCAAGAGATGCACGGACATGGACACCAAAGCCAGGGTCCCCGTCCCTTCCCCACCTCTTGGCATTCATTACTTGTCACTATTTCCACAGATCCACCATCCTTAAGCTCATCTGACCAACAGCGCAGTGAGAGATGGGACCTTCTTGGTCACAAAGCATCCAACTACATGTAAGAGTCACAGCTGCAGGTGTTTAAATACAAGTCTTCCATTTAGAGCTACTCTGAATTTAATTTTTCTTAATGCCACATAAGACATTTATAGTTTCCCATAAAATAAAATTCTCTCCCCCCTTTTTTTCATTTGCACTCCGTAAGTATTTAATTTTTAAAATTAATGAGTAGCTAGATATGACCGGGTGATTTATGTAAATATTAGCAACATTTCCATGAGTAGTTTTATCCTTTTTACAACCAGAAGTCGTATCACAATTCAGAAATATTTAAAAGGCCATCAGGGTTATAAGGGTAGCTTTCCTGCATACAGTAACAGGTACTTATACCATGCTTATAATCCGTCTGTGTATCTTCAGCATTTTTAATACACCTTGCTCTGCAATACCAAGGTGCCATCTGTATCTCTTCTTCAGGCTCAGTTGTTTTTCTCCCTTTCCCAATTATATCTATGCACTGAATCCTTTAAACCTCTATCCAGTCTGCAACTTCATTGGCTCAAACTAAGGAACAGAATTTTCTAATTCCCTTATGATAATCCTATTACCTGTCCAAAGCTACTTCTGCAAGGGTCATCATTACACAGAAGTGTAAATCTGAGGCCAGGTCTGTCTGCTGTCAGTTGTAACCCAGCTCCTCTCCTGGAAACCACCGAAGACGTTTGTCAGCGCTTTGAAAAAGTGAAGCTGAGCAACTGAACCTCTCAGGTAGAGTGATTTCTATGTTGATTGTCTTTCAAGTTTTATTCGAGTAGGGGAATAAAATACGGTTTTTCAAAGATGACCACAGCTGTTAAAATCTATTAGCGGTGTATTAAATGTTCTAACAGATAGACTTATTAACTGATATGGTCTCTCAGAAGAACCTCACCTTTGGCATCAGGCTAAAAAGTAGCTGTTGAGATAAAAACTAATGCCAGATTTCCAGTTATGAATTTGGCAGGCTGTTTAGATTAAGTTGAGAATAACAAGCTATGAAAGCTGTCAATATTTGTGCTTTACATAAATAGAGGTTTTGCTCTAGCATGGATAGTAAGCGGTGCTTCACTCCAGATGGAGTCATTTTGGGGAAGAGGAAGCATATTAGAAATCTGACCCCTGAACTGCTGACAGTATGTGCCCAGACTATCAGAGGCAACACCTATGTCTAATTTAACAGAGCTTTTACATTCCTTGCACGGAATCCTATCTCTCTTTATTTGATTTTGTCATTGATTTAATTCAAAATGGCATTTCTGCTCTTTTGCAACCTATCTTTGAATATTATCCTGTATATAAGAATTTGCAAGAGAATATAAACAGGCCATTTCTTCTGCCTGTAGTGGGATGGAGTTCTGTGCTCTGGCAAAGGGTGAGCAGAAGGCTCATATGTCTGCGATAATCCCCCCAACTTGTTTATGTCTGGCCCCATCATTCTCAGGGCCCCCAGGAAACTCTAGATCCTAACTTTAGAATAAATCCTTCTTGCCCAGGTGTCTAATTTCAGGCTCAGAATCTTTTTTCTTGCAAAACTATAAACATTGGTGTGAAAGAATAATGAATCAAATGTACTGGACAAGAAATTTTGCCATGTAGCTGGTGTGACAGCATTAATTTTAGGCAGGTTGCAAGTATGTAACTAAATGACGCGTTACATGAAAAGACAATGCCCCCGTCTAGCTGGTGAGCTTACCTACTTTGAGGGCAATCTGCCATTGACAGGAATGGAAAAAATCACCAGGTCCCCAGCTCAGCAGAGATGCAGAGACTGCTTTGCTTCCCTCTCAGTATTCTGCTGTTCTCAGTGGCACGTCTTTGTCATTTGTACTCAGATTTGGATTTGGCAGTGGGCATAAGAACAGCCGTAATTTGTATCTTTATGTCAGTCCTTAGAAAACAACCATAACATGAGCAAACCAAGAAAATTTAGTACATGTAATGTCCACTAAACCCCCATTTTTTGATACGGAGAGATTGCTTTCTACAGCTGAGATCCCCAGAAGATGAGCATGTTGTGAAATGTACAGGTCTAAGTTGTCAAGAAACCTCAAGGCAAAATTACATTTTGGATTCTTGCTTCCAACCTGTTTACCCAAGCATGATCTTCACAATCAACAGCTTTACTAATTTCCTGCAAGCACTTGAAATTTTTTTGACAGGAGGGAACAGTTTGAACATAAAGTCACTCTTCTGCAGCTGATATATACCTGATTGTCAGAATTATATGTGAATACTTCATCCTATTTCAGAATGGGATTTTAAAATTATCTCTGTTATAAATATTAATGTCTAATCCTAGCAATTCTAATTACAGCACAGCTAAAATCATGAGGAAATGCATTAGGGAATGAAAGATAATAATCAAAATAATACAACATGAGAGCAAATCTCCTAGCTAAAGAGGATTGATATAAACCAGCATATGCAACTACTGGCTTCCAGTGACAAAGGGAATTCATCACTAGTAACAATGGATATCTTGAAGGCATCACAGGGTTCCCTTATTCCTAATTTGAAAAGTGCAAAAAACCTACGGGTATTTTACGTTTTCAAAATACTCATGATGCCAACTGTTCACATCCTCATCTCAACTGCATAGTTTTTCCTGGGTGAATTACATTATTAAAGGACATCCCTGCCCCTTTCCAGCCATTCAAAAAACAAGAGCATAGAGAGCACTGATTCAGAAAAAAAGAGTCTGGTACAACCAGTAGCCCCACCTCAGTGGGGAAATAATTTTCAATAAATATTGCACTAGGCTGGATTACAGGTATCAGTCAGATCAGTTGTGCAACTAACTGCAGTTATAGGAGGCTCTGATTCTCACTATATGCAAAAGCTATGCAACTTCAGAATAGTTTTAAATGCAGAAGACACAAGAACATATGAAAAACCTTTACCACCTTTAAATTTCCATCTCACTGTTTAGACCTATTGCCTTCTTAGACTACTTTCAGATACCCAGCTGTATAAAACCAGAATAACAAACCCATATTCCACAAGCCACCTCTGGACAGAAAACACTCCAGAGACTGTACAGCAGTCTGGTCACACACTGGTCAGCAAGGAGAGGAAAGAAAAATTAGGTCGGCTCCATGATTTAATATGTTTAACAGGGCAAAAGATGCAGTGAACTCAGCTGGAGAGTCCAGTAACTAGCTTTCAGTGCTATATAATAGGCTTCATTTAAAGGCATATGGCTAACCACCGTTAGACTGAATTATAAGATTGATTCTGAATTCCTTGAATGAGCGCAAAGATTTCATTTGAGTCCCAATATGGTGAAATGTTTCTCACCGATTTAAATGTAAGCTGGAACATGCTATAAATCAACACAGAGAACATATCCAGTATCGTGACCAGCATACACCACAGATTTTACCTCAAATGCTCAACGCATACAGAGTTAAAAAGAAAGTTGTAGAGCAATTTTTACAATCAGTACCCAAGTACAGAGCAGTTCCTGTTCTGCTGCTTACTGGAAGGAAGATACCAAAGAACTATGAGTAGAAGAACATAAAATGGAAGAGATGAATGGGGTCTACCCAGTATCAGGTATGAGTAGAGTTGGCCGAAATTAGGTGAATAGCACTTTCATGTTAAAGGAATAAAAATCAAAACAAAACAACAAAATCCCTTCCAACTATTTTAAGGGAAAGATTTTGTGAATTAATGTCACCGCTTGTATTAATTCTTTTTTTTTTTTTTTTTTTTTTTTTAAGCTGAAATGAAACATTTTAATTCTTCACTTGCATTTTCATTTTTGACAGACATGTAAGATGAGGGCAACAACAAGTAGAAGTAGTATGATAAGTCTGAAAAATAGCTCCACGTATTTGCCTGCCAAAACAAGAAACTGTATTTGACGACTTAGGATCCTTTCCACTCCAACAGCCACAGATAATAGAAGAGAAAGAAGGAAAATGCAAGCAGTTGCACTGAGAGAAGGCTATATAGTTTTTCCCACTGCATTCCATCAGAAGGAGGGATGGCAAGGTTGCGGGGACGGTGGCTTCTGCCAAGAGAGCTAAGCTAGGCTTTACTGAGCCGTCTCAGCCGCTCTGACGAAAGCACCTGCTGCATTACAAATCTTCACGTGGCCTAAGCCCCTCCAAGAAATTTCCAAATCACCACTCTTGTTCCCTAAGCCAGCCACCCGAACAAGGCTCTGTGGGCTGTAACAGCAGCAGCGACTCCAGCCTAACCCCATCACGCTGGCTGGCAGATTCAGTTCTTGGTCTTTCTCGGCCTCGTACAAGGCTGCTGGCTCACAGGTCTTGCACAGAGCCGGGTGAAAAGGTGTTACCAAAGCTCTTTTTAACAAAAACTATTTCACTGATTATTTTTTTTTTTTTTTGGAATTGTTTCAGTTTTGATGAGGACTTCCACAAAGGCAATATCTTTGTTTTGTAAACATTAAATTCAAACGTCAGCTTGAAATTAAATTTGTTTCTATAACAGTCATTTATAATATGGCATTATAATTAAAATATTTGTAAATTATTCCATTTATGCAATATCTTAAGGAGAGTTGCTTTGAATGGAATTAAATATTTTATCTTCATTTGAGACGAAAGCATGCTATAATAAAGTCTTGTTATTTTGACACAAAGTATCACATAAAATAATTGCGGTACTGAGTCCTATCCTTCATAATTGCTGGAATCCTACTAAAATAGCTGCTTCCAGCAGTACCCAAAGCTAACCATGCCTTTCCATTTCTCCTTCCAGCAGGGATACTGTCTAGGCTTAAAGCAGTGAGGATAGTAGCTATTCCTCTTCTCAGAGATCACTTAAGGAAGGCCTTTTAAATTCTTAAAGCAAACTGAGACTGTTTTGAAAGAAATCATGAGATAAAGACTTGGATCTCACCTCTTTGAAAGCACACAATAATGAAGTGCCTTCACTGACAGTTTTGAGTTAAATCCAAGCCTATCAGTGCTGTTGACCATTAAGTTCTGTGGTGGTGTCTTTTGAGCCCTCAATGACATGCAAAACTGGTCATGGGGAGACCTCAATTCTGCTGAGGTGTTGGATGCTGTCCAGGTTTATTTTGTTACATATCGCATTTGGTCACAAGCAAGAGGTACATTTGAAAACACAGCCTAGCTAAAAATAACCTTGCTAAGCCTTAAGCCAAACCAGGTTGAAGTAAACCCTCAGAAAGAGTTAGGAGAAGCGAGGCTCCGTCACATGAGGAAACATGCCAGCCACTGACCATCTGATGCCTACACTAGTGCCGTTAGACCTCCGGGACTTCCTCAGTGCCCACGTCACAGCCACCTCCAGGCACTCTTTGCTTTTCAGGAGACCATCTCTCCCAATGAATGCAAATTTTTGTTCCCATTATCCATGCCTGCATCTTCTCAAGATTAGTCAAGTTCTGTAGTTTGTCCCAAAAGGGTTTCAGGCCACTGAACCAAGTTGTCCTGGTGATATCAGGAATCCACAGCCTACGGTAAACAGCACACTAGAATGCATTTATTCAGAGCTTACTTAGATAACTTCCTAAATCATTTTAGAAAGTGGCTATTTATTTTAAATACAGTAGCAATCATTTTAGGACTTTAGAATTTTATGATACTCTTCTGTTTAGTATGTATATTGATGTGTCATCCATGACTCCTAAAATATTTAAAATATAGGGATTAACATAGACTTCCTGTCATACAGACCAACCTAGTGTTTATCGGCTGTTAAATAGTTAAATGAACTCTAATTTGATTTTT